TCAGAAATTTGTCACTGGGTCCCCTAGAATCGTTGAACCATTTTTATCATTATCATCATCATCATTTCCTTCCTCCATGCAGACACAAAGAACAAGAAATGGATCACAGAGTTTATAAATAATTGATATGGAGATTGAGGCATATATAATTTAAAAGTTTATCTTTGCAGTATTATCAGCCTGGTGGCACAGCAGTGCTACCTGCCTGCTATGCAGGAGCACCAAGAGCAAGACCCAAAATTCCTCTGCCCTTTTTCTCTTTCCTGAGAAAAGAGCAAGTTCTTTAAGAAAAACAGCTGTACTCCAAGTTGGCCGTTGCTGCATGATCTATTGGGATGAGAGGAAAAAATCAAAGTTATGAGAAAAGCTGAGTGGGTTTTCTTGTTGAATGGAAGTAGATGAGGTTCTGTTGGTAATCTCAGAATTAGGTATGCGCTACTACTTCTGTGAGTTTGAACCATAAGTGCTGGAAAGGGTTGGTTGATGTTATTTATTTATTTATTTTCTACAGCTAAGATGTAGGAAGGAAACAAATGCATATTTTTTCTTCAATAAGCTGTTTTCAGCAAGGATGGGGGTGGTTGTGTGTGCATGTTAAAAATGAGTTCACCTTATGAACAGTTTATTCAGGATGATGTTGACTTTCTAAGACCTATTCCTATAGAAAGAGCGTTCCATGGGACTGAATATCTTCTCACAGAGGGGGTAGGTTTTTAAACAAACAACAAGCTATTTTTCTTATGACTGTCTACAGGTTTTAAGAATTCCCAGAAAGCATGTCACTTTCCTTAAAATGAGAATTATTCAGTATTTATGTCTTCTATATTCTTGTGGAAAGGTGAAATCCTATCTGTTTAGTAGAACTAATAGTATTTTCTTTTACTTTACAGATATTTTTCAACCTAAAAAAGGAATGAAAATAAGAATTGATTACTGAAATTTTATACTTTTTGATGAGGATGAATTAAAATAATTCTGAGGGGACTTCATAACACTTTTCATGGCTTGTTCTGCAAGGCTCATTTAGATTGTTATCAAATAATGCCACAAATGTGCACTTCTGGTTCACACTAATCAAAAGTCTGTCATATAAAATTCAAAATAGTAAAATAGTTTACCTATGCTCCTGATTTGAGAAGATTGGTATTTAGGCTTGTGTTTAACTGAAACCATTACAGCTATTCAACAAGAATGAGCAGAATGTTTCAGTTGACTTGACTCTGTGTTCACAATCCCATAGACATATGACCTTTAGGATGTAATTCTGTGAATTGACCTGTGTGGGGAACGAGGTTCTTAATTAGGTTATTTAAGAAGCAATGGAATTCATTCATCTGTACTTTAAATTACTTTTCATTGACTATGTAATACGCTATTTTGAAGAATAATAGGTGCAAAAATATTTAAATATGTTAGATTGATTTGCAATGCTGCTGTCTGTGATGATTTATTTATAAATTTCTTTCTTCTCGATCTGGAATGCTTTTCTTCCCATCCTTACAGTTGGGCAAGTTGTTTTATACAGTGTTTAGAAACATCCATTTCTATTAATACAGACAGCATTAACATCTGTTTTCAGTGATATTCACCATGGTATTTATTTTCACATAGACATGACTGTGTCCTTGAGCCTTGTGGTTTCTGAATATGCTCAGTATGTCTAAACTAGAGGAATAGCACAATTTGTCTAACGGTAAGAATTCCTGTACACAGTCTGTGATGATTACAAGAATACTGATATTGGAACTGTACTGCTCAGCTTCAGTTAATAGAACTCTGTGTGCAAAGCATGAGTTATGTGAGTGAATGAGCTATTCAGTTGGTTCATAAAGACGGTATTCCACCATGTCGAATGCCAGTCTGATATCGTAAGGAATGAATATTCAGCTATGTGAATTTTTAGAGCCAAAGCTTTTTTGCATAGGTCATGAAATTCGGTAAGACAGTATGATGTCAGAGAGCAACCATATTCTGAGTGAAGAGTATTTGCAAATTATTATGACCAAAACCTCACATTTCAGTCACTGAATAAATATTTTTTCTTGTGTGTATATTTGTGCATATATATGCACGTACATACTTGTATTTGAGTTGTAACCACATTACTTGTCACTAGACCTAAAAAGAGAAAATCTCTACCACTTTGAAAAGACCTCTTAACGCTTATGTTTCTAAAATTGCTTATTTTCTATAGAAAACTGTTTCTGAGATTATGCTTTTATGGCTAGGCTAGCTAACCTTCTCAAATGGGCAAAATGGCAAGTTCTGTTTCTCTCCATTTTTTCCCTCTGGTATGGAGAGCAGTGCTGAGCACTACAGCACAGAGAGGAAGCATCATACAGTGAGCATCATACACTGATGAGCTCTGTAGCAAGGAAGAAATGGAAAAGAAGGAATAGGGAAACAGATATAATGTGATTCTTGTTTGGAGTGCAAACATCACCAGTGCTGGACTGAGCGAGTCCTATTTGGGTAACAACTTCTGGTAAAAACACTTTTTTTGTACTTGGGATTGGAAAACATTTTTTCAATAAAATTCCAGCTTGGATTGTTAAGACTTCAGATGAACAGTATAGATTTGGTTCTGGTTTCAGGAGAAACAATGGCTTGAGACGTTTTGCTGGTTTAATTACATTTGGATTAATTAGGGACATAGCAGGAATAGCTATCTTTGTAGCACATTCAAATGTCACAGAAGAAATAAGTCATTGCTGAATTTCTCTGCCACTCCATGGCCTTTCTTCCAAGCTGAGCTCAGAGAAGTCATCATTCATAATCAGTCACTCCCCCAGACCTACCACTAATCCCCAGTTTGTGAGCCTATCTGCTGGAAGACTGAGCTACCACCATAATAATAACATTTGGTGGTAGAACACCATGGGAAAAACAGCATGGCTTCTTCATGTATTGTACCAGTACATAAAAGACTTCACGTTTCAGTGCTCAGACTGTCATTTTCATGAACCCTATTACATGCACTGCATTATTTTTTTCCCCTATGCAGTTAGGTTCCTATGTTTTATTTATTTATTTATTATCTTTTCTTGACTAAAAATAAAAGCTCCCACAATTTTTAGTTTTGAAACTTGCGTTTTGTATAATTGGGAAGGATACATAATTTCTCAGACTATGTCCATTTCTAATCCAGCAATGTGGCATTTAAAGTTGTCTAAGGGGGAAAAAAAGTGTCAGACATTGCAATTAGATTCTTCCATCTATGTACCTTTCCTCTGACTTGCATGCACTAATATTCCCTGCTTGTTTAGCCAGCTTTATAGACTCCAGGTAGTGAGTGCTGATCTGACATAATGGCACGTGAGTTATGAAGCTGTTTCCTGAAGCTCTGCTGAAAGTTATCACCCTGCATGTCAAGCAAAATCTTACTTTAAATATAGAGAGTTTGCTAGTATCTTGGGCACTTTTACCCAATAGTCCCTGTTAATCACCACAGAAAACACATAGAGCAGCCTATGTGCTGCTGAATGCATCAATCTTGCAGTCACTGTTAGCATTCATGTTGTATTGTAAGTTATTCCTTATGTATTTTCATTTTAATATAGAAACTCATGTTCAGAACACAACAAGTGCAGCTTCTTGTAACCTGTTGCCTTAGACCTCAATTACTGAGACACCCTCAATTCCTTATCCTTTATCACTTTTTAGGCTAGAAGTACTTGTGTCAGTAGAGTTATTTTTATACTGGTACTTGGTTTTCAATCTTTACTTTCATCTGTCAATATGTGGCAGAGCCGTTTATGTCAACAGAGGGGAAGTATGCAATAAGGAAACTGAAATATGTGGTAATTATCATCTCCGTGGCTCTTCTACAAACTATGTGATAGGTCTGTAGTATTTTCAGGCAAAAAAGAAAATTACTTGCTTGAAAAGTAAAAAAAAAAATAAATTACATTTCTGGGGTGTGAATTGGCATTTAAAATGGCAATCCTGAAGGTCAAATATTTTAAAACTGAAATAAAGTGAATGATAAGCTTGTCTATGACAGCACATAGAATTTTAACTTTTAAAAGGCATTGTGTGCACTGAGAGTTCTGTTTTTAACTCGATTAAAACAAAGTGAAAGTAGACAATCTTTTGGTGCAAACGCAGAATGAAGAATCTAATTTTAGGTGGGATGAACCTGTCAAGACAGACACTTTATATGTGTATTATAATACACAATCTTTCTCCCTTTACAAGTGGAAAATGCAAATGTGGCCAAGTTTACATAGCATTCAGTTAAACAAAATCTAACAGTAACAGTAAGATGGAAACTGGTATGAAATCAAAACAAAGCTCTTCAAAACAACTGTCTATCAGTTAGTGGCCACTCAAATTTATGGATAGGAACCCGTGAAAGGTTTCAAAAGTATGCAGGCCTCCAAGGCATATAAATCTGGCTGAAATCTGTAGAAATGAGGTGCTCAAACTTCTTTTTATGGTCTCTCTGGCATATGTGTATTGGACTCTAGTTTGGCAATCCAGCTCTCAACAACATTTTGTTTCCTGCTCCCTGGAACAGAGCTACTGAGAGAGGATCCTCTGGAGACCCAAGTGAATGTCGTGGTAGACAGTGGAAAAGAAATCCTGAGAGACTTCCAAAGAAAGCATCAGTATCCTGAAGCAAAGCTTTGTGGATTTTCTGACTTTAGGGATGTACAAAAAGGCATCTGCAATGGGAAGGGATATCTACATAGAAAGTGACGAGCTCAGAAAAGCTGTTGCAATTCCAGATCACACAGACAGTAAACAGGCTTCTTGATCTTGCTTGTCATTTAAGATACAACGTCTATTCTGTGTAGTCAGTAGTCCTAATCTTGTAAAAACACAGTGGTGGGCCAGTGAGGATCAGGCCCAGTTTTGAAGAGGCTTGCTCTTATTATTCTTTTACCAAAGGTTAAAATTAATTCATATTGTATTTCATTTTTTTGCTCTTCCATGGAAAACTTTGTCTAAGAAGCTTTCTTCTTCTTCTTTTTTTTTTTTTTCTTTTTTTTTTTCAGTCCTCATTCCATCCCTGATCGCCTGCGCATCAGAGTGAACCGGATTAATTTGCAAGAATATGAGGGGCTACATTATGACAAGGAAAAACTCCGTGAAGCTTGTAAGTTGGAAGAAGCTAGGTTGTACCTGCTCTCAGTAGAATATTATGTATAGATCTCACATTAACAACAGCAAAACAAAAACACACATTTTGGACAAGTCCTCTGTGAGCTATAGGCTCATCTAATTGAGTATATGCACATGCATTCTTTCTATATAAATACTGTCTGTATAAAGAGTGTTCAGGTAGTTTTTTACTTGTGTCTTCTGCACGTTGATTTTGTTTACTATAAAGTGAGTGTTTTTCACACCTGATTTTTTTATTTGTGTCTTTACATTGACTCTGCTTACTTTCTGCTAGCATATGAAACTTACCAAGGCTTTATGATTAACACCAAATTTGAAACTTAATAAGAGACTGGTTTCAAACTGAGAGGTTGATCATAAAATGATAGAATTCTCAGAGTTGGAAGGGACCTTTAAAGGTCATCTAATCCAACTCCCCTGCAATGAATATGATTTTGCTCAGGTGCATTTATTTTGGGAAAGAAATTTGGCTTCCTTTATTCTTTAAGAGCCTTCAGTTTTGCACATAAGAAAATAATCACTGTTTTCTTTCCACATGTAATAGTTTAATTGCCACATTCAGGGGTAAGTCAAAAGCAGACAGATGGTTGCGTTGGCAACACTGATGACGATGATCCACACTTAGAAATGGAGTTCCTTTCCTTGGTGCCACACAGTCATTAATCAATGAGGGACACGTCTGCTTGTGATAACAATTTAATAGAGTCTTGTTCATGCATCTGGCTCATTATTCATCTTAAATTACAAGCATGACTGTTTGTTGTGCAACAAAGCTTCAGCTCCCTCTGTAATATAGAGTGTTCTGGTAATTACAGGATGACAATCCTTTTAATTAGTTTGCTTATCTTACTGTTGGAAGATAGTTAAACTGTTTCACTTTCACCCCTCCAGTCCCATCCCTCCTTATTCTTCTCTCAGTTCATCTGGGCTCCATCCAACGAAATAAGTGATATGCCTTGAATTTTAATGTAGGTCCTAACAGCCTTTTCTAAAGTTGCTGTTAGTAGATTTCAGCTATAATCAAAGCAATCTAAGCCTTAATCTGTGGACTGAGAAGAATTATCATAAAATGAGGATTATGGCTCACTGGAGAAACATTTCTTTCAAGTTTAGAGTTTGACCTTGAGTATCCTTATGGTTGTCTTAGACAGACGCTTTTGAAACCCTGTTGGAAACATTCTGGTTCTTCTGGTGATTCTTCCCATGCCTTTCCATCTGAGGACAACTATCCTCATCCATTCCCACAACAGATGTAATTTTTTTTATTTAGTATGTATAATATAGTCATTAAGAGACATTGCATCATCTGACAAAAGATATACACCTTTTTTCCCTAGTGTCTCTGCAACTGCACATAGGTATTAATTATTTGTCACATTCAAAAACAGTAATGATAACATAAAATAATATAAATAGGCAGATAATGATCTAGCAGCTTTGAGATCTGGTTTTAGACTATACACATTTGATCACTTGCTGAGCATGTATTCAAGAGGTTTTCATTCAAAAAGTAGACGTTTGTATATCAAAAGTTAAAGTGCTTGCTTTTAGGAACTGATAGACTATTTTCAGTAGGATCCTTTTGTCTCTTTTTCAAGTTGCTGACTGGTCAGGTTGATAGTATAATGTAGGTGGATTATTCTTTGTAGACTCTGTTCATGAAGTTGCTTTTTCTCTTTGTCTTCCTTATCTGTCTCAGTAATGATTGTAAATTACTGTTTTTATATGAAAATACAAGAAAGCAAATAATGTCCCAATCAAATAAAAAGAAGAAAATCAGAGAGGATACCTTACTTTACCATCTGCAATTATTAGAGAGCCTTGTATAAGGATTCATAACTTACAGCACACATTCACAGTCATCTTCCTACTTTTCCGGACAGAACTTTAGTAACTCCTGTCAGAGCTGTCCAACCTTTAGTTTACAAGAGGCTAATCTTGATTTGAAGAATCCTAGTTAATGCTAACTATGTCTGAAGAAAATCTCATATGAAAAGAGAAGTGCTTTCTAAATAGTCAGTAATCAACCTGTTTTAAAATTCTCCTTGAATTCCATGAAGGAAAAATAAGAAAATCCCTGTGCCTTACTGAGCATAGGACTAATATCACAGCTTTCCTGTGACTTTTATTGCAAGGTGCTTGCATCTCCTCTGGAAACTGAGATGTAGTCAGATATCAAGCTGAATTGTTACTCTAGAAGACTACACTTAATTCTTTATGAGGAAGGGGGCGGGAAAATTGTGTAAACGCTCCTTTTAAGAATAGCAGATAGCCATTTTAATTGTTTTTCTGATATAGATTATTGGTTACATATGAACTGTTTCTTTTTCTGGTAGCAGGTCTGCACATCACTGCCTACCTGGCACTATAATGTGTTTACACTTCTTTGGAATAAGTATGCTGTCTCAGTCCACAGCAGCAAACCTCTTCCTGGAGCACTGTCACTTGACTTGAGAGGGAGGAGGGAAGTGGTAAGGCAGGAACAGCAACTCTCCTTTCTTCTCCAAAGTGGCCATAATGGGTGCGGGGGTCGATGGGAGGAGAAGGGTTTTTACTGTCCTGAAGAAAGAAATCACCATGGTGAGAGACAGATTGAAATTTTGTATGTCTGAATCAAAAATTTAAATATGGGTATTGTATGCTAGCAAAATAATTATGAGTGATACTGCAAACAGAGGAGCTGTTGACTCTTCTGAAGATAGAGAGGCCTTGACAGACTACGGGACTGGGCAGTCACCATATGCATTAAATTTAACAAGAGCAAGTGCTGGATTCTGCAGTTGGTATATATGTACAGACTGAGGGACAGGTGTCTGAAAGCAGCTCTGTGGAAAGGTATCTGGGGGTTCTGGCTGATGGGAAGTTGAACGTGCGAAAGCAGCCAAAAGGGCAAGTTGTACCCTGGTTGCCTGCACTGCCACTGGACAAAGGAAAGGACTGTCCTGCTCTGCTCTGTGCCCTCACATTGACCACTGTGTGCAGTTTGTGCACAACAATATAAGAAGGACATAAAGCGTAAGGACGTAAAGAGTATCTAAAGGAGGGTTACAAGGATAGTGAAGGGTCTGGAGAAGAACATGTGCGAGGAGCAAATGAGGTCAATTTAGGTAGAGCTGTGTGTAACCAGGATGTGGACTTGATGATCTATGTGGGTCCCTTTCAAGTGAGAATATTCTGCTATTCTAAGAGAACTCACAGTGGTCCGCTCACATTGTTGCAGTAGTATTTCTTCCAGATGTGTTGTTTTTCAGTGGGGTTAGCTTACTGCAGCACGTCTATAGCTTTCAGGAACATGTATGTAAAGACTTGATGCTCACAAGAGACTCAATTTACTTGTCTTTTTAAGCTTTGGCTGAATATCTACAATTTAATTCCAGAATACTATGCTTACCATCCATTCTCTGCCCACACCAATTAAAAGCACTTTTATCTCCCCATAGTTTTTGAAGACTAAACCAGAATCCCACAGCAATCTGAACAGGAAAAGGAAGCCAGTTAATAATGACTCATGCTGTTATCCATGAAGGAACAGTAACAAATAAGCTATTAAGGTTTTTGCTTGTCACATGTCTCCATAATAGAGTTTTGAAATCTCTGACATCAGTGTAATAATCTGGATCACTTTAATTCACAGTAAATACATTTCACTGCCCTGGTTTGCTCAAAATACTGATTTGATTCTATCAAATGCTTCATCTGAAATTGTACTTCCCGACGTCTAACAACTCATCATACAAACTGTTCCGTGAAGATTAATCTTCACTCTGTTGGAGGTAGACACCTCATTTTGAAAACCTTCTGAGCAATTAAACAGTGTCATTTTGTTCTCTGAAGGGCAAAATTGTTCTTAGCCCATTCTCCTGTTGCTCTTTACTCTTCTTGTCACTGCAGCTGGCATTTAACCAAGATGCTGTTTCTGAATTGTCCCTTCTTTCCCTCCCCTATGCTCCTCCCTTTCTCTTTCATTCTGTCAGCATCTCATATTGTCTCTGTGATGATTGATGATGGTACAGGGGTTACTTATTGATCCTTCTATGACAGGGTTGAATGATTCCATGCACTCTTTTAGGAAAGGGATATATCTTGACCATTTTAGTTATGTTGTAAGTTGCTGCTAATGTAGTTGTTATCTCCAACACATTCCTATATATGTCTCAAGCACTTGTCACCCTAATCACCAGTTTCAGTTCCCCTTGCCTGATGTGATAGTTCTACCTTAAGCGACCAAGATCATCATATTCAAAAAGTGAATTCAGCTGATGTTTCCAGATGGGCAGAACTTAATTCTGTGTCTTGTCTGTGCATCTTCTGTGTACTGTTCCTGATTTCCTGCTATGGCAGGAAAGTATGATTCAAAACAGCACTTGGGGGGAACAATTCAATTATTTTTAAAAGAACAAAATCTTTTTGTTTATGGCACTAGATTTTCCCCATTTTACTGCTGCTATTAAATTACTGACATTCTGTGTATACAGAAAGTATTAGAAATTAATACACCCATGAACAAATTACTGACTATATGGTACTCATCTATGTTTTCTCCTTAGTAATGTTACTGTAGATTTGGACCATGAAGCTGGAGGTGAATTAGCTCACCAGCAGCAGTAGATACAAAGCTTTATCTATTTGTTTGTTTGTTTATTTAATGGAATCTGTCAGTTCTTAGTGCTCTTTACATATTTTGTATGTTCTATCCTTGGAGATCCCAGATCCCATCTTGCTTTCTCAATGCCACTAAGATTAAGGGGGAATCATACTCAACCCCAGTGTCAGCAATATCAGAAATAAGTATCAACTCTGTGAGCTCCTGGACTCCCACATCACTATATTTCACACAGAACCAGTCATTCCTTATCTCCTATGGAATAAAATGACACAGAAAATTGAAAAACAATTTTTGAAGATTTATTTCCATGTGTACAGTAATTGATTTAGCTACAATCTAACAATCTTTTTCTATTTAGCTTCCTTGCT